GTGCTTTCCTCCAGTCTTCCCAAGGCATGCATTTTTCAATTGATATGCTTCCCTAAAATATCGATCAATTCTGAGTCATTAAGCAAGGAGCCGAGCATTTCTTGACCATAAAGAATTTGAGAACCCCCACAACAAAATCTTCATTCTACAGATAAGGCCTTGTCCAAAGAGACATATGCAGCCAATACCAATGGCAAAAAACAGTGCCCCCAATTTCTGTTTTCCTGTTCTAACATGAACTTTCTGTTCCAACATAACACATGCAACAGTGGTTCTATTATGGTAGTGGGTCTCCAGGTGAGACGGTAGATCAGTCTCACACGAGACAGGAATGGCACAAACAGAGTTGGTTTAAAAGTACCCAGCTGAGCTGTTAAATCACCTCTCTAAGAGTCAGGCTTTGACGGGATTCTAAGTATTGCTACTCACTAGATATTTGACCATGAGCAAGGTATTCTCCGAACCTCATTATACTTATCTGCAACATGGAAATCATGGCCGAGATTTCAAATAGGCTTGTCCTCAGTACTAAAGAGAGAATATCTAGATTAAGATCCAATGAATACTGTCAACTCAGGATATGTTGCAATAAAAACAACTCTAACGTCCCACCGCCCGGCCCCACCCCCACACACAAAAAGTTTATTCCTTGCTCAGACACAGTCTACTGTAAATTCAAGTGACTCTTCAAGGGCTCTCAGAATTTCAGGCTGCCCACAGTCATAATGTAATGCCTGTTCAAAGAGCAGAGAGGCAGAGGGGGAGCGGGGGAGAGGGTTTCCTACAGTGATTAAATACTCCTGCATGAAAGTAATTTCTGCTCATGCCTCTCTTCTCCCAATAGTGCATACTGAAAATGCCTAAATCCCAGTGGACAAGCTAGGACAGTGGTCCTCAAACTTCCTCATGCTGCGACCCTTTCATACAGTTCCTCACGTGGTGGTGACACCCCAACCATAACATTATTTTCGTTGTTATTTCATAACTGTAATTTTGCTACTGTTAGGAATTGGGCGACCCCTGTGAAAGGGTCGGTCGACCCCCAAAGGGGTCATGGCTCACAGGTTGAGCCTAGCTCTGGGAAGACACTAAAGTAAGCAAATTACTAAACAAGAAGGGGCAATTACCTCCTCTTTCCCAATCAGCAAATTCAGGCACTATCACGTGCCTGCCTTAAGAGAGAAGGCACGGTGGCGTCCTTCCCGAAACTCACCACTCCCTATGGTCACTGCAGCAAGCAAGCTAACACTGAAGGGATTTCTACTAAGACTACATATTTTTCCTTTTCAGGGATGAACTAACCATGTGTACCATGCTCCTGGGCTTTCTCCACCAGAAGTAACTTCCTATAAATAGGGAAACTGACCAAATGGAGCTGCTTCTAAAAGTCCCAAGGATGAACCATGATGCAATGCCGCACAATTTCAGCATCCTTTGGTGCCTCTATGTGCATTCCCTTCTCCTGGATTTTTGGTTCCCAAAGCAAGAAATAACTTGTTATGGATTAGAATTATGTGCCCCACCCTCCTCAACAAATAGGCATTGAAATCTTAACTCTTGTACCTGTAAACTGACCCTGTTTGGCAACAGGGACCTTTTTGTAATGCATATGAGATCGCGAAAAAAGTGTGGTGGGTCCTAAACCTAATCATTTCTGAGTCATGGAAAGAGTCAATTAGACACAGAGACATGCAAAAAGGGAAGAGAAAGGCAGATGCTGGAGACAGATGCATCTACAAACCTCAAGAAACTCAAACTTACTGCTATCAAGTCAATTCTGACCCAGTCACCCAAAAGGAGAGAGTAGAACTGCCCCTGGAGGTTTCTGAGGCTGCCAGTCTTTAGGGGGATAGAAAGTCTCATCTTTCTCGTGAAGAGTGGCTGGTGGTTTTTAACTGCCGTCCTTGTGATTAACAGTCCAGTAGATAACCCACTATGTCAATTGCTGGCAGCTACTAGGAGCTGAAATAGACATGAAAGGACCTACCTGCCCCTAGGGCCAGGTCCTGAATTCAGACTTCTAACCTCCACAACTGCAAGGAGCTACCTACATGTGACATTTGTAGTACAGCAGCACAGGTAACACAGGCACAAGAGCCTATCCTAATTTTTAGAGCTTCAGTCCATTATAAAGAAGAACTTGCTACTGAATTGAAAGTTTACAGCATCCTTCCCAGCAAGATTCCCTTAACCTATGGTCCTTATGAAAACATCATGGTATGCTATGCTTCAAAGGAGGCTGACCGATTCCATGGAAGGAAGGCTGGCCGTGCATATGCCGTGCTAACCGCAGTCACTGGAACCAAAAGAGCTGGGTGGATACCAAGCAATCCATCAGACTAGATGCTTCTTTTTCAAAAGTTATGCTTTCTTTCAAAGGGAACCTGAAAAGTGAAAAGGTATGTGTGTGGGTAGGGGATGGTGGGCAGGGGAGGTGAGGCAGGGACAGAGGTGTTTAATCTGAGGATTCTTCTAACATAACCAAACACACATAAACATATTTCACCTGTTAGTCATTGAGTTCCCAGGGCAGAGGCATATTAGCAGTGTTCCCTCACTGAAGGAAGTGTCATTGACCACAGCTCCTACAACTTCCTCGCAAGAAGCTGGCACAGCATCTACCTGGACTGGCAACATTGACTCCTTTGCTTAAAATTTGCTTATGAGATTTGAAAGTGTGACTTCCTGTGTGAGGTATCTCTATGAATAGCCTGTGCAGAGAGGGAATGAGGGGTTTATGTTTGAATCTTCATCCCTTTATTTATGTATGCCTATTAATTTCAGTGAATACAATCCAAGCATTATAAAGAATATATATATATATATTTCATCTGTGTGGGACAAAAACTGGTGGCTTGTGGCTCAAGATGGAACTGTACTCGCATAGACTCCTCATGCCGACAATGTCTGGAGTGCTGGGCCATTGGGAAAATTGATGATGATGATAATAGTGCAATCGACTTATCCACCAGGGGGGTGATTGACAATGCTGTACTTCTTTGTTTATATGGGTTTCTGCCTTCCTACGTGTAGCTTGCTTTTTTTCCCTTCTTTCTTTCTTTTTTTCTGGGTGTGTGTATTTTGTTTGTTGGGGTGCTGGCTGGCTCATGGCTGCTATTGATGCAGTTGGTCTTATAGGGCTGTGATTTTGTCATACTATGACCGCCAAAGTAAACCTGAGATATGCAAACCCCACAGATAAGCAGATGGAGTCTGGGCTCCTACATAACGCCAGCCCCAATTCAAGACCACTGAGTTCTGATAACACAGCCTTGCTCCACACTCACCTTCACGGAAGGATCACTGAACATAAGGGTGCTACAGCAAAGTGTGGTGAAGAAAGTGGCTGGTGCGTGGCTACCAATCAGAATAGTGTCTGAGGTCTTCAAGGCTTGTATTCAAACAGCAGCCATTAAGCAAGGAGTCAACTAGGTCTGCTCGGAAGAAGCATGCCAGCTTGTGTGATCGAAAGAAGACAATTACAAAATTTGAATATGGTGACGGGGAAAGTATCAGAGTTAAAATTATTAATATCCAATTTGTAGAAGACTATGGAAGGCAGTGGGAGCCCAAAATCCATCTACAGAGTATCTAGTCAGACTGAGCCACTGGCAGATCCACTCTACCCACAGGCAAGAGTCCAGAACAGCCTTATAAACTGGCAGAAACCATTGTAACCTTGATTATATTGGATTGAACTCGACGCTTGGCCAGTTGACTTCTCTATAGAACCGACCTAAATATGGTCTAGGTGCAGGTATCCCTTACTTGTTCCACGACAGACATTTCTTACCTGACTTTTTGAGTATTGATGAGGTTCTTATTTTTTCTTACTCATTATTTGTATTTTTGTCTTTATATAATTTTATCCTTACCACATTATTTTGCTTTTTGCCTTTCACTGTTTCTCTTGGGTTTCCCAGTTTGTGAAGCACAGGAGGAGTGGATGCATAGAGAGAATACTGACACAAGGGCTAATAGAGGATGTAGAGATGGGGGGTGGGCAATAGGGAGGAAGAGAGGATTTCGGGAGTCAACAATGAAGACAGGAGGGGCAGGGAGCACTAGAACTGCTTGTGATTGCACAACTCATTTTAAAGCGATTTAACCAGGAGGGAGGGTTTAACCATGAGGAAGGGAATGTTCTAAAATTGATGCGGTAATGATTGTACAATTCTCCTTGATATGACTGAACGATTAAACGACTGAGTTGTATAATAGGTAAATTATGTGCCAATGAAACTGTTACACCTGGAAAGTGCTGCCACCTGTGTCTGGCTAAAAGTCAGCAAGTAAAAAATGGTAGTGTCATTTTGAAGGTTTAAAATGACCACTGAAAGCCTATATGGACCTCCACCTCAATCCATGATCTAACAACTCATTTTCTTCTTCTTCTTCTTTTTTTAAATCATGTTATTAGGGGCTCATACAACTCTTATCACAATCCATACACACATCAATTGTGTAAAGCGCATTTGTACATTTAAAGGCATTGTTTCAGCCAAGATGTCGAT